GCATTTAGTACTCCACCTTGCTACATTCTAGGAGAGAAATTTTTCATTATTTAAGCCACATTCCTACTCTAAAGTCTACTCCAGCCTTAGGTGGTTTGAACTCACCATTAACTCTGTGTAGCTATGAATTAAACTGTGGCAGCCTACTGAATTTCTGGATCTTAATCTGGTAGGCCCAGTTCCATATGCAAAGATAAAACATCTAGTTTGCTCCTGAGTTTCTGGCTTTCTGAATTGGGTCACCTGCCAGGATTCACAGATGAGTCAACCATCTGAAGACAATGATCATAATCTGTTTCTAGGATGAATAAAACAAAACACTGTGGCCTTAGCTGTGTGCAGCCTGAGAAACACATCACTTCATGAGGCTGTTTTCAGTTATGATTGGCTGAAAAAGCTTTGAGTGAATCAAGTCCTACTGAGGAGTTTTGTAGGAAACAATCACACTAAACTGGAAGATTGTTTGCCACGTCAGAGGTCTCAAATTCGCAATCAGAAGTGCAAAGCTATTTTGGATAACTTTATGCTATCTCTGGGGAAAAGACAAAAGAGAAGACAAGGATACTTTCTCTTACTTCTATGATGCAACTAAGATCAGGAGGAAGTTCTAGACTAGAACCACACTACTATTTTCCTAATAGCACATTTTAATCTCTTCCATTCTCTCTGAAACATAAGATCAAAGTTCTTTTTCTGAAACAACTCATAAATACATGAAGTAGAGCTATAAAATCTTGTTTGATTTTTCTGTGGAACTTTTAAAATATGTTTTTGAGGCAGAGTCTTGCCCTATCATCCAGGCTGGAGTGCAGTGGCGCGATCTTGGCTCACTACAACCTCTGCCTCCTGGGTTCAAGCGATTCTCCTGTCTCAGCCTGCAGAGTAGCTGGGACGACAGGCGCCTGCCACCACACCCAGCTAATTTTTGTATTTTTAGTAGAGACGGGGTTTCACCATGTTGCCCAGGCTGGTCTCGAACTCCTGACCCATCTTGGCCTCTCAAAGAGCTGGGATTACAGGCGTGAGTGACTGTGCCCATTACAGGCGTGAGCCAACTTAAAAAAAAATGTTTTTTAAAGTTGTTATGGGAAATAATCCTATTTCTAGGTTTTTTACTTCAAGGAAAGTTCACAGTAACTTGACTGATCGAGGAGCAAGATAGAAGAAACTGAGATATGATTCCCAGTGCTCTTTACTTTGCCATTTCTATAAAATAGTATCATACAAGCTGCCACTCCCAGAGGGATAGAATTGCTGGCAGAGGGAAACGTTTGCGCTACCTCCATTTGTTTCTCTTGTTTATATCTGCCAGGAACCTGCTATCCTACACCTTGCTGTAATTGGCAAACGCTTAAACTGTAGGTCAATCTTTTTCTCCTTTTCCCCTTCCTTGAGGCCCCAATAGTTTTCTTGGTTGGTTGGTGAGGGAAGTGTAAAGCTAATTTTAAATACTGGTTGCGTATTTGTTATTATTAACTTAAGCTCCAACCGGTCTTAGCCAGAAAAATCTGACTTACAGTAGAAGAAACCGACCCTTTTCACATAACTTATTTCGCTATGTCTCCAAATACTTCCTGTATACTGGGGGCTTTTAAAAAATGCATACGGAGACTTGTGGTTAAAAGAGGAATTTAAGCACCCTATGGTAGGCAAGATAACACCCCTCACCGCTGCCCCAATCCCTGGAACCAGTGACTATATTAGATTACATGGCAAGGGAGAATTATATATGGTATAGGAAACATTCAGCCATCCATTGCTGGCTTTGAAGATGGAGGAAGGGGGCAATGAGTCAAGGAAGTGACCTCTAGATGCTGCAAAAGGCATGAAAGTGGATTCTCCCCCAGAGCCTATAAAAGAAAACAGCCCTGCCAAAACACCTTGATTTTTAACCAGTGAAACCTATGTCAGTCAGACTTTCGCCCTACAGAATTCTAAGAACAAAATGTGTACTGTTTCAAGCCAGTAAATTTGTGGGAATGTGTTACAACAGCACTTGGATACTAATACAAACTCCTCTTAAGGTTCTAGGAGCAGGTATTTACAGTATGGTGATCAGGTGGGCTGTTGAATTATTTTCAAATGGTGAAAAGCCCAGTTGAGTCTGTAAAGTGCCTTATTGGGAATTATCTCAGCCCTAAGAAGTTCCTTCTTAATCACTCCCACTAAAATAAAGGATCTGGGAAGAACACCAATCAAACAGGATCCTTTCTGTAGTATTTACCGTGACGGAATGAGATCAGGCTGAAAGTATTCACAGGAGGGCACTTAAAATGCACCAAAGATCTGGCTGTGGTGCTTCCACTGTTGTTGCCTCCCACCAGTCTGTTCAAGAGGGAGTTCAACATCACCAGATTCTCTCAGACAAACACCAGAAGGATTGCAGAGGAAGTTTTTTTCGCAGATGCGATCTATTGTTTTGTTTGTTTTTTGGGTTTTTTTTTTTTTTTTTTTTGAGACGGAGTTTCGCTCTTGTTACCCAGGCTGGAGTGCAATGGTGCGATCTCGGCTCACCGCAACCTCCGCCTCCTGGGTTCAAGCAATTCTCCTGCCTCAGCCTCCTGAGTAGCTGGGATTACAGGCACGTGCCACCATGCCCAGCTAATGTTTTTTTGTATTTTTTTTTAGTAGAGACGGGGTTTCACCATGTTGTCCAGGCTGGTCTCGATCTCTTGACCTCGTGATCCACCCGCCTCAGCCTCCCAAAGTGCTGGGATTACAGGCTTGAGGCACCGCGCCCGGCCTGGTTTTTTTTTTTTTGAGATGCAGTTTCGCTCTTGTTACCCAGGCTGGAGTGCAATGGTGCGATCTCGGCTCACCGCAACCTCCATCTCCTGGGTTCAAGCAATTCTCCTGCCTCAGCCTCCCGAGTATCTGGGACTACAGGCGTGCGCCACCACACCCAGCTAACTTTTGTATTTTTTTTTTAGTAGAGACGGGTTTTCACCATATTGACCAGGATGGTCTCGATCTTTTGTCCTCGTGATCCACCCGTCTAGGCCTCTCAAAGTGCTGGGATTATAGGCGTGAGCCACCGCGCCCGGCCTGCGATCTATTGTTTTATCACCAAGCAATCACATACCACACTGTTTAAATATATTGCCCCACAAGTAAAGCAGTGTTTCTGACTGAGCCCCTTGGATCAACTGGGAAGAATTAAACACAGAGATGCTTAGGTCCAACATGGGAACAATGAAGACAGGATTTCTGGGAGTGGGTCCTCAGCAAGGATGTTTTTCTGAAGCTCCCTAGATGGCTCTGATGCAAAGTGAAGATTGAGAACCACTGGTGCGATGATTATGTATGCCAGAAACCATGACCTGAAAATAAGTTTTCATAAAGGAATAAGTTAGTGCATAATGGGAATAATATTACAAAAAACAAAACGTGCAGACTTGTTCTTGCACAGTTAAAAGAGATCCTTGGGACAATCCTCCATGAACAAACCAAGTACCATAAACGAATTTTTCATCATTATAGAAAGCAGGTAAGATTGACTAATAGATCACAACTGTCTACATTCTCAAAATTTACGCGCCTTTCCAAAATCAGCTACGTAACTACAGTGAGAGGAAAAAAAACCATGTGAGTAAATCTCTTGTAAAAATTCCACTTAGTTTGGAAAAGTTTTTGCCTGTTTTTCCTGCATTTTCTAAGAAGAATCTAAGAATCCTGGCCAACAGTGTCCCAGGTAAGAGAAAATGATGCTTGGATTACCGTAGTTCTACAAACCCTACCCTGATAAAAGTAATGAAAGAGGTCGTGAGAAGCTTGACTGCACTGTGATCACCATGGGCACTATACCAGCTCTGAAGTCCCGAACTGTCTTTGAGAATATTCAATTCTGCTCTAGAAGAAAAGAAATAGGAGAACAAAGCTCACGTGTTACTAGCCTGCAAAACAGTGGAGTAGGTATACGTAAAACCAGAAAAGGCTGGAGACCAGCCTTTAATATTTAATATTTAGATATTATTATTTAATATTCATGAAGCACAAAATAGACAACAGGCACTTAATATTCATTCGTAAGTGTATATTCATAACATACTAAATAAACAGGAGGTAATAAACGTTCACGGGTCTCAATTCTGCCACCCAGTGGTGACACTCAAGTTGATCCCGCACATCTGCTGAAGAAATGCCAAACCTGTACCTGCTCAGCAGGCCGTCAGCATGCCACGGCTGTGGCCACGCATTCTCCCAGCGCACCGCCCAGCCCCTGCGTGGGAACATAGCTCCCCGGACGCGGGATCGGGTTTACCGAACTCTGCGATCCACGCTGGGAACGCAATACATGGGCGCTCCACGGAGACGAACTCGATTCAGACCGTGTAGAAACCCTAGCTTACAGATTTTCTCCAAACATGCCATTTCCAAGCAGTATTTTTGAAAATGCGTGATAGCTACACGCGAGTTACCCTTTTTGCATGTATGTTAAGGGCACAGGCAGCGACGCCGCGCGCGGCGAGGGGACAGCACTGCGCTCCCTGCCCGCACGCCACCTGCAGGCGCAGAGGGCTGCGGGTGCGGGTTTCCGTTCGGAGGCCGGCACTTGTCTCCGGTCTAAGTGTGCGGAGCCTGCGCTCGTCGACGGCCGCCGACACTTTTCATTTTCAAGGCCGATGCTTGCTAGCCGTCGCAAGCCGCTCCCGGACGCTGTGGCCTCTCCCTCGGGTGGATCCGAGCGCCGCGTGACAGTGGGAACAGCGCGCGCCTGTGTCCTCCCCAAAACACCTCCCACAAGGTGGCCGCCTCGCGCGAGGTCCCGGGCCGGGCAAACACGAACACGCGGCGGACGCGAGCTGATCGCTAAGGAAAAGCTTCGCAGCCCGCGCGGCCCTTAGTATCGGGATGCAGGCCCCGCCCCTCCTCCTCCGGACCCAGCCCAGACCCGCCCACCGCTCTCACGCCGCCCAATAGGCGCCGACGCCGCTCGAAGACTCGTCGGAGGAGGAGGAGCCGGGGCGGCCGGACGCTGGACGGCCGTTCACGTCAGCGCGGTGACGTCACGCGTCGACGCCGGGGACGTACCTGTCGGACTCCCGACGCCCGCAGCTCCTCTTCCCGTCCTGCGGGTCGGGGCCGGTGCGGTCCGGAGCCTGCAGCCCCTTTGCCAGTGTCCTAGTTCGCCCGCGGCCCGGCATCATGAGTGAGGAGGGTGTGGTGGGTTGAAAGCCATCCTACTTGACTCCCGAGTTAGAGCATGGATTCAGTTTTAGACTTAAGGGGAAGTGAGGCTGGAGATTTTTATTTTTAATTTTGGGCAGCAGCAGGTTGACTCCAGGGACCTCCAAAGCGAGAGGGTTTAACTTCATGTTGCTCCCGTGTTTCAAGGAGGACAATAAAAGTCCCACCTGGCAAAATTTCCGTGACCTCCGCAGTAGAAAACGTCAGGTATCTTTTAAATCGCGGTAGTTTTCGTTGTGTCAAGCTTTCTTCAGGTGGAGCTCCCAGGGTAGCTAGGTTTTAGGTTCGAAACAGATGCAGGATCCAAAGGCAGCGCAGAAAACAGCCACCGATTTTGCTATGTCTCTGAGCTGCGAGGTGAGTTGCATTGTATGAGCCAAGATTCGTCAGCTCTCAGGTTCACAGATTTTGGGTCAACTGTGAGGCCATCGTGGTTTCTCTTACAAGGTACCCACATGATGTTGAAAGGTACTTCATGAATCGGGGTGCAAACCCATCCTGATCGGGTGTATACCCTCGGACATTCTTTAAAATTTCACACATCTGCTTCAGTAACCGTCGAAGGACCTCCGAATAGAATGGAAGTGGGTTCCAGGAAAAGATTAAACTTAGAAGAGTGGGTTTTACTTTCGCTAAATTTCCCCCAATTTAAAAATGATATTGTTTTTCTATCTTTAGATATATGTGTATGTAAAATATTTCGTGTGTGTATATAATATTTGTGGTTTGATCTTAAATGATCAGAAACTGTCTTAGAATCTCAGAAATTAACTTTGCATGTGGTATGCTTTATTTGTATGGCATTTTAAAACTGGAGCACATAGAAGATAATTCATAGGTCGTGCATATTAGAGACTGAGATTTCTGTTTCCTTTCGAAAGAAATTCCTGTTTATGGAATTTAAGCAACAGTGACCATAACTTTTACATAGATATATAATTCAGAAGTTCTGATCTACAAACATAAACTTTTTGAGCTATGCCATTCAGTTACTGTAGCATCATTGTGGCTTGTATAATCATTGAATCTTTCCAGCAGCGCTTTTACTTTCATCTTTAAAGAGCTAATTTAGAAGATTTTTTTTTTTTTGATGAGGTCAGTATGGAAATAACTGTCAGTCAATTCTGCATGTCTTTGTGAGATACTACCAAATAGTATTTGTTCAGTTCAAGAGTACCTGTGGGCGTTAAAGTGCTTATGTCTATATTGTTGACTTTCATCTTAAAAGGTGCTGCTGTTACTCGTGACTTGTTCTATAGTATGGCTTTAAAAACCATGTGTGTGACCTACAGATAATTTCTCAAATTGAATATGCCTGTATGGCTTCTAGTTTAATAGAGACAGTCACTGTTGGCAGAATTCATCACAAATTGCATACTCTTCCCACCTTTTGCTCCCCCCACCACCTCATAAACTTTGCTGCTTTGCTTGAATGTTGAGTTAAATTATTTTAAGAAGTCGGTACGAATGTATAGTACATCTGTCTTTACTTGGAAATTGTGCTTTAGCTTGTGTTATCAATCATACATAGCTCATTAAGAATGTAAATGTGGGCCGGGTGCGGTGGCTCACGCCTGTAATCCCAGCACTTTGGGATGCCGAGGGGGGTGGATCACAAGGTCAGGAGTTCAAGACCAGCGTGGCCAAAATGTTGAAACCCTGTCTCTACTAAAAATACAAAAATTAGCTGGGCGTGGTGGCACATGCCTGTAATCCCAGCTACTCAGGAGGCTGAGGCAGGAGAATCGTTTGGACCTGGGAGGCGGAGGTTGCAGTGAGCCAAGATCGCTCCATTGCACTCTGGCCTGGGTGACAGAGTGAGCCTCTGTCTCAAAAAAAAAAAAAAAAAAAGTAAATGTGTAAGCTTGTTTTTGGTTAGATGTGGTTCAGGGGCCAGATTTGTTGATGTTATGGGTTCGTGTTAGTAAATTGGCTGTTTTCCAGATCATGTTACTGGTAGGACTTTGCATTTCCTGTTGTGACATGTTGGTAATAATTTTCAAAAGGCTCAGGAAGCCAGATTTGATCTCTGTGGTGGGTCCTATATCAAAGCAGCATCCTGTGGGGTTTGGCCACTATCACTGCTTTGTAGAACTTCCAACTTAGTTTAGTAGTCAAAGTTGTCAGCAGGGATCTAAAATGTATAATATTTTATAATAAGTGTTAATATTTATTGAATGCATTCTATGGTTACAGGTTCTTTTCCAAGTAATTTTTGTGAATTATCTCAATTTTCACACCAACCCAACGAAGTAGGTACTTTCACTATCCCGTTTACATTCGTAGAAACTGAGGCACAAGAAAATTTATCCTGCCCAACAGTAGCTGTCAGAACTCAGACTGAAACCTGGGAGTATGATTTCAGAGCTCCTGCTTGATGCTGCACCATATTGTAATTTAGAATAGTCAAAATACTAGAGAAAAACCATAAAAGACAAGGCGTGTAGGTTCAAGTATAAAAGCAACTTAAAATTACAGAAAGTCTGGAAAACAATGTTTTTAAAAGGGATACTTATAATCTTACTAGTCTAATAAACTTTTTAATTTTTAAAATATACACATTCACATCTGTACATAAACATTGTAGCTGTGATTCCTTTTTATTCTTAAAGATAAATCTTCAGTGAAGCTTAAAATGGAGAATGAACCTCACTGCCTCACTTTCATTGCTGAAATATGGAGAGATTTGATATGCACATTTGACTGGAACCAAGTTAAATAAATGTATTTATTGCTGTTTCTTGTGGGAACTAATTGAACAGTTTCTATCTTTTGAAATAATGACTAGTTTTCAAAGTTTCTGTCTTCCACAGCAACGTATTATTGGTTTATTGTTTTATCTTTCTTCCTCATTATAATCTGAGTGTTATATTTGTATGTGTGTTTATTCCTTTGTCCTTTCAAAATCGTCTAGTGTTTATACCCACTGCCCCTGAGGAATTTGGGTTCTCTGGTCTGTTTTTATTTATTTTTAATTGACAAATACTAATATATAGGGTATAATATGATGGGGTATATACTTATGGGGTACAATGTTATGTTTTTTTTTTTTTTTTTTTTTTTGAGACGGAGTTTTTTGCTCTTGTTAGACCCTCCTGAGTAGCTGGGATTACAGGCACGCGCCACCATGCCCAGCTAACTTTTTGTATTTTTAGTAGAGACGGGGTTTCACCATGTTGACCAGGATGGTCTCGAACTCTTGACCTCGTGATCCACCTGCCTCGGCCTCCCAAAGTGCTGGGATTACAGGCTTGAGCCATCGCGCCCGGCCAATGTTATGTTTTGATAAAAGTATATATTGTGGAAAGATTAAATCAAGCAAATTAACATATCCATCATATCACCTACTTGTCATTTTTTTGTGGTGAGAACATTTAAAATTAACTCAGCAATTTTGAGGTATACAGTACATTATTATTAACTATAGCCACCGTGGTGTGCAATAGATCTCTAAAACTTACTCCTCTAACTGAAACTTTGTGTCCTTTGACTGACCTCTCTCCTCTCCTATTTCCCCCTCTCTCCTTTCCTGTTTCCCCCTCCCTCCAGCCGCTGTAGACTGCCATTCTGCTCTCTGCCTCCCTGAGTTTGGCTTTTTTTTTTTTTTTTTTTTTTTTTTGAGACGGAGTTTTGCTCTTGTTACCCAGGCTGGAGTGCAATGGCTCGATCTCGGCTTACCGCAACCTCCGCCTCCTGGGTTCAGGCAATTCTCCTGCCTCAGCCTCCTGAGTAGCTGGGATTGCAGGCACGCGCCACCATGCCCAGCTAATTTTTTTTGTATTTTTAGTAGAGACGGGGTTTCACCATGTTGACCAGGATGGTCTTGATCTCTTGCTTGACCTCATGATCCACCCACCTCGGCCTCCCAAAGTGTTAGGATTACAGGTGTGAGCCACCGCGCCCGACCTGGCTTTTTTAAAAAAGATTTTACATATATGTGAGATCATGTAGTATTTGTTTCTTTGTGTCTGCTTTATTTCACTTAGCATAATATCCTCCAGGTTAATCCATGTTGTTGAAATTGACATAATTTTCTTCCTTTTAAAGGCATATAGTATTCCATTCTGTGTCTATACCACATTTTCTTTATCCATTCACCACTGGATCAACACTTAGGTTGTTTTCGTATGTTGGCTTTTGTGAATAATACCATTTAACTTTTGCATGACGTGAAAAGATTTTGTAGGTCTAAGACATTTTCTTCAGAGAGCTATTTCCCTCAGTAGATTATTCACTTACTGCATTTTTAAAGAAAAATAAAGCACAGCAATTTTGACATGCAGGTAACTGAATGGACAGTAAGGATAAATTATCAAGTAATATTATTTTGAGAGAAATTAGTTTTATTATTCTCTTATTTTGTATGTATTGACAATTTGTATTAAAATGAATTCCTTCTGTTTTAATACCCTTGTGGGTCTAATTAAACACTTTCCCCCTTTTCTTCATCTAATCTTGCTCTTTTGCCCTTTTTAAAAAATAAGTCCCATCGCATATATTTCTTTTACTGTGATACTTCATATGGTTCATGGAAGTAGGTGGGTTTAATAACTTGCCCAAACATATCTCTATATAAAACATAATTTTTTCATTTTTAATTGTGTATATTACCAAAATAATACTCATAATAATGCTCATAATTTTCCCTACTTTTCTGATAGAAATCAGTGACCCTAATGTATCAGAGACCAGCCTGACCAACATGGTAAAATCCCATCTTTACTGAAAATACAAAAATTAGCAGAGCATAGTGGCAGGTGCCTGTAATCCCAGCTACTTGGGAGGCTGAGGCAGGAGAATCCCTTGAACCTGAGAGGCGGGGGTTGTAGTGAGTCAAGATTATGTGATTGCACTCCAGCCTGGGTGACAAAGTAAGACTGTCTCAAAAAAAAAAAAGATATCTCTAATATCTACCGTAAATGCAGAAGATGAATCACTGTATCCAAATAAAGGAAAGTAATTGTATAAAATCAGTTTAAAATAGATCAGTGTAGCAAGGATTAGGTATGTTGATTTCACTTTGGGAACTTTGAAAACTTGATGTAAATTGAAACTTGCCCGGTGCTAATGTAATCAGTAGACCACACTTAATTTCTGTGGTATAGTTGTGACTTTTTTTTTTTTTTTTCTTTTTTGAGACAGTCTCTGTCACACCACCTGGTGTGTAGTGGTGAAATCTTGGCTTACCGCAACCTCTGCCTCCTGGGTTCAAGTGCTTCTCTTGCCTCAGCCTCTGGAGTAGCTGGGATTACAGACATGCAACACCACTCCTGGCTTTTTAGTAGAGACAGGTTTTACCGTGTCTTTTTTGTAGAGACAAAGTTTTACCGTGTTAGCCAGGTTGATCTCAAACTCCT